AAAATCGTAATACCGTGGTTCGAGCCCAGCCCGACCGACCTTTTTTTTTTCCTGTTTCTTTCTTTTTTTAAGAAAATCTATTTTTTCGTGCCCTTTTTTTGGTATTTTTTAAAAACACGAAAATTTAAATTAAACAAATTGCACTCATGATTTTTTATACAAATAACCAGTTCAGTTTTTTCTATTATGTCGCTACGATCAAAAAATATTATTCGTATTTCATCAGTATGTAATTTGTATCTAAATATAATTTCCAAAACACACGAATTAAAAAAAACCGAGCGAAAAATACCGAGCAAAGCTTGGTCAACCGGGTACTTAAGATACAATACTCCGTTTCCAATAAAAAAGGATTTCCGGATCTCTACACCCACCATAAGAAACACTGTAGTATTAAGTTGCTACATATTTTAAGCTGTGAGAGCGTGGTCCTTCCCCGGTCCATACCATACTATAGCTGCAGCGTGGTGCTCTATATATGTTATTTTAAAATTTAAAGTTAAAGCCCTTCGATGAATGTGAATTAGTGATAAATAAGCAACCTACTTTAGCTTTAACTGTAACGGTGCGTTATACCGTTATACGTATTCTTTCAAATGTCATAAGCAATTTTAACCATGCAAAGAAAACTGAAATTACAACTTTTTTACTAAACACATTAAATAATACTGCCACCAAATTGCATGCACTGCCGTATTCCGGTCTGATGGACAAAGAAACAGTAAAATTACAGACTGTTAGGAATCCTATCTTGGTTCTCAGAAAAAGCATCTGTATAGCTGCAGTAACCAGTAACCACTTACATACAAACAGATCACATGCAATAGCAGTTGGGCAACCGTAGTTTTTTTTTATTAAATAACTGTTATTGCCAACCATTCCATCCATGCAACCATTGGCATTGCTTGGTGAAGGCTTTTGTTCAGCAGTGGACTTCTTTTATAGACTAAGAATGACAAACAGTCACAGTACACAGTATATTCGTAAGTGAATGCTGTGGCCCATTGACATCTACATTTATCCTCGATTAAGAAACAATGTGTAAATATGTTGACACCCCTGATAATTAAGATCGAATGCCTAGTTTTAAATAAAAAGGTTCTCTACACTTACCATACGAAACACTGCAGCATTGAGCTGTTACTTTACGCTGGTATTCTGTGAGTGTGTAGCCCGTTCGAGACCCATTTGTGCTGCCACCGAAATATAACCGCAGCATGGCTCTACCACGTATAAAACTTGTGAATTGTGAAGGGATGTGATAAAAATTATAATGAAATTTAAAAAATATATAATTCCGTACTACATCTACTTCGTGTTCGTGAGCCTTATCCACTTTTAGATTTGACACTTTGTTCTTTTACTGCTATATATGAATCGGTTTTTCTGATAATGTGAAACTTTAGAAACTAATCTGTTAATAACACAATTAAAAAATATTATTTGGACAGCAAGGGCTAACGTCACCGCTTGGCGTTCGAGTTTCCAATATATTACTTTCTTCTATCATTCGATATGTGCAATATAATGGAAAGATACATCCAGCCATGGACCTTTACAGCTGATGAAGTAACAAAATAATAGTATATGGTAAAATAATATGATTTAATATATTATTTTAATATATTTGCTTAGCATGTAATCATGGGAGGAACAGCACATTGCGCTTATTTGTATAGTGTTGCGGCTTATGGAGAAATATTTGAAATACGTGATGTTTTAACCGTATGAAAGAAAGTACATAAAAAGTGTAGACCGCAATTTAACAACATAAATACGTTAAAGACTTCAAATATTGGCATGATTTTTACAACATAAATATTGGATTTATAATGAACTATGTAGAGTTTAGCGGGAGCTTGACCGTCGCGTCGGCGGATTGTTTTTCCTTTATTATAATTGAAAGTAGCCGGATGACTTTTTTTTTTTTGAAATAACATTTAGATACAAATTACATACTGATGAATAATATTTTTGAACTTATAGACATAATAGAAAAGACTGAACTGGTTATTTGAATAAAAAATCATGAGTGCAATTAGTTTAATTAAAATTTTCGTATTCTTAAAAAATACTAAAAAAAGGGCTCGAAATAACAGATTTTCTCACAAAAGAAGGGAAAAAAAATTGAACCGAAGTCGGGACGCGAACCAAGGCATTACGATTTCGCGACCGCTCGATATCCACTTGAGCTATTACGATCATTAACACAATGTCAAAATTTACCTTCTTATATTGTAGCAGGTTTTCATTGCCTGAAAACACGGACAAAAAGACATTTTCTAAAAATAGATCCTAGCTAGATCGATTTATTGCCTCCGAAACTCCCTGGACACAAAATTTTATGAAAATCGTTGGAGCCGTTTCCGAGATTCCGATAAAAAAAAAAAAAATATATATATATATATACAAGAATTGCTCGTTTAAAGGTATAGGATATTTAACAGTGGTACTTTTATGTATAATAAGTGTTTGTACATATAAACTACTAGTAGAAAAAGTGAAACAAAAGCTACGATGGTGATGTGAATGTGACGATAATGTCTGTTTAGGTGCCTCGAGATACGCTCGATATCGCCATTAGCTTAAATTTTTTTTTAAATTTATGTGTTAAAAAACTCACGCGTATTCGAATATTGTTGTGTCAATATTCGAATTTCATATACCAAAACTAGTGAAATATGTGACCTTATTATTTTATACGAACATTTTGGTACCATATTTCTTATGATTAATTTTACACATTTGGAGATTTAATATTTATAAAAAAACAAGTTTGACATTTTATCTATATATTTATATGAAGTTGTTTGCTTGATATGGCTTTCGTTTACTTCATAACTCGCATCATTAACTTCAATTAGACCGCAAGAAAGTCTAATGGAGAAAGTTTTTTATAAACGCACTTAATACTTTCACCTAAATTACTGGCTGGTACATTATGGATGTTTACACTTAGAGCTCTTACAAAGTTTTAATTACAGTGCATAAATAAAATGGATTCCTAAAATCATTAATGTTTTTCTTCATCATCAGCTCGATATGGTACTGGTCATTTTTTATTTATACGAGCACACAGTTCACCTTATGGTAAGTGAAGGCTGTGGCTCACAGACATGTATATCTATCCTCGTTTTAAAGAGACAATATAGTAACAGGAATTACTGGCAGCATTTTTGTCTCGTAGTCATGAGCGCCACTGCTGGTCTCGTGGAGTTTTGGGTTGAAATAAAATCTGTTATTGTTTTTTTGTGTCAAGAAAGTCTCAATAGCAGCCTGGTGTCATCCAGCGGGATTTTAGCCCCTCGCCTCGGATAGCACGTAAAGCCTAATACTGCGCCAGTTCTCTCTCCGGTCGTGTCAGATTACCGTCACATCGGACTATGAGAGTTAGGGAATAAATAGTGCACCTGTGTTCACGCATATACTTCGGCACTATAATCCTGTTCCATGCAATATTTTTCACCAGACAATATTAAGACCAGAAATGCTAGCATTTATGTTAATTCAAACTAAAATATCGTCGTGTGGTAGCGGCGTGGAATCCATGACATTCCGTGAGCATCGTAAGAGGTGACAGATAGAAATTAAACAGATGGGCGGCTTCCTCAAGATAAAAACTCAAAATAATAATAAATTGCAGCAACCAATTTTTATGCAAAATTTGAAGCAGAGTGGACCAAGGGATCACGTTATCCGATAAAAACTTTGCCTCCGTTTTTCACCCCCTTAGGGGTAGAATTTAGCAGAATCCTTTCTTGTCCGATACCTATGTCATACAGAGAACACATCCACCAAGTTTCAGGTCTCTACGATCAGCGGTTTAGGCTGTGCGTTGATCCGTCAGCCAGTCACTCAGGACAAACCCTTTGATATGTATAGATTTATAAAATCTTCAAAATATCTGATCGCAATTACAATTTGAAAAGGTAACCAGACTTCAGACACCTAAAAACGGTACGAATATTATTTTTTGCACTACTTAAACGAGTAAGAATTTTAAGTTCTGTTCTCTTGAACTTCATTTAATTTTTGGATTTTAAATTTCACTTAAGTTCGTAACGCCAATTTCACGTAAGTAATGAGGACTGCCTCATAGCATAGAGTAATATTTAAATCTATAGGGAAATCATTGGGGGCGGCTATATTTAGCTGTGGATTTTTAATTGTCTTTAATGACGATATGGTGGTGAACTTAAAATAATGTAAAAGCGCAAATATACATCGCATACGTTGTAGCAGAGAGAAGCGGCGAATGAGAGAAGTGCGACTCATTTTATCAAGAGTGTATTTAATCTCCTTTGAGACTAGCCGCCGTGATCGAATTCGATCTGGAGGACATATAGGATCATTTAGAGAACCGGAGACCCTTTTTACTGGAAACGAGGCATTCCATCTTAGTCCTCACGAGTGACAACGCATCTGAATTTTGATTTGTAATCGAGAATAGATGTACATGTCTATGGGCCGCAGCAACCACTTGCCATCAGGTGGACTGTGTGCTCGTTTGTTAGTTTATACTAGGTAGAAACTTTCTCTAGGTGTCCTTCTAAGTAAATACCACCCTCTAACCCATCTCAATAGTAACTGCACTGCAGTGTTCCAATCCAAAGGATATAGAGAGCCAGCAGAGGAATTTCATCACGATCTGTAGTAGTAACTACAGACTGTGAAGAAATTCCATTTTACTCCTCAGAGGTGACAACTCAATTGTAGCCGTGTTTAATTAAAGTAAATTGCAAAACCGAAGCCACTAATCATTAGATGGTTTATAAGTTCGTTAGTCACCACAGTTCCAAAATCAAACTAACGGTCTATAAATCTCCCTCGAAAAGCAATTCTAAACACAAAAGGCAACCCCAATCTTACAGCCACACTTTAACACAATACATATAATTAAAACATGCTTAATGTGGTGAGACTAACTACCCAAACTACACAATACTTAGAAACAAATTCAACGACGTATAAACCTACAGTAAATTAGAGAAGTAAACTTAATGTTGTAAGTAATGAAACAGATCTGCTTGGAACGGATTGAGATATGAGGGGCGTACATCTGTCGCTAAACCTCTTTGAACTGAGAACACGTAACAATGTAGCTCAAACGTGATAATAAATAAACGTCGTGAAAAATTGAACTTGAAGAAATGTCCAAAGATTTGCTAAGATCTACATAAAATAACACAAGTTAATAATAGGAATATTATACTGTATGCATTAATCGCTGTGAATTGATTAAACCTGTTTATCTGTCGCTATTATAAAGATGATACAATAATATCAACTACCTCGTTATTCTAGTGATTGTAAGCGGGACTGCTGATCAGGAGGGAGGGGACGTGAGTTTTGGGTTCGAATGCCAGTGAGGGTTAAAAAGCCGTTATTGGGTTTTCTTTCAAGAAATTATGTCCGCAGTCTGGAGTCAGATAGTTGCCGGTGTTTCAGCACGTGCTTCAACAACTATAGCCGTTGGTCCTGCCCCTGATTTCTCTCCGGCCGTGTTGGATTGCCGTCTCATTGGACTACGAGAGTGAAGAAATAGCTAAAAACTACTATTGTAATCTATTTCCATGTATCCTTCTTTTCTGCTAAGGAGTCCGCCTAGATAGGTATCACTCTCCTATTTGTATCTGCCGCCAAACAACAGCGCTTACACTGCAATGTTCCCGTCCGAAGTATATAGAGGGTCAGTATAAATCAGACTGTGAGGACCTTTTAGTCCTTAGTTATGACATTTCATTTAGCCTTTTTTATTGGAAATTAGCTATGGATGTCCTTATAGACGTGCTTTTGTTTTGGAGGCGTTAACACTCACAAGATTAGCAAAGCTGCCCGCAGTAAGAGAATCAACACTTTCTCTCACGTTTTATTTTGGGCTGTATTCGACCTCGACTAGTATTTAGCTGATATGTCTCCACTATTTAAACAATTGCAAAATGGGAGGCATTTAATCTAAACACTCCTATTTGCATGAAGTTGGTTGCCAATGCCAAGAATTGACCGGCCATATAGCTCGAAGAACCGACAATCCATGGGGAAGAAAACGAAAGATGGACCTGGTAAGACATGCAGGAAGTCGATTGATGCAATTGGCTCAAAACCGTGCTTTGAAGCATTCGTTAGGGGAGGCCTATGTTCAATAGAGGACTTGTGAAGGGATGCAATGATGATGATACTGATGATGATGGTTGCGGATGTCCATGAGCCGCGGTGGCCACATAACATCAGATGATCTGTGAGTTTTATTTGTATCACTAATAATATAAAAAATGTACACAACACCCAAATAACACTCGTCTCTATATATATATAAAAATCAGCTGCTGACCGTTAGTTTATTTTTTTTTTATAGAAAAAGGGTAACAAACGAGCACACAGTTCACCTGATGGTAAGTAAATGCAGTGGCTCATACACATTTATCCTTAGTTAAGAAATATCATGAGATGCGTTGGCACCCTGAGGACTAAGATGGAATGCATCGTTTTTAGTAAAAAGGGTCTGCGGTTCTCTACACTCACCATACAAAACATAGCAGCATTAGGCTGCTATTTCACACATAACATATTATATTCAACGCAAACTCCGAAAATTTATCTAGTTAAATGTTATTACTTCTTATCAAATTTCATGGTACAGATTGCTTCGCCGCCTAAATAATTTCATCCTTTTAGATTTAATTACTATATATTCCAATTGGAGGGGCTTTAAACAGGATAACTTTTTAGTCTTATTAAATTTTGAACGAGGTACGTTCCAATTAAACTTTGATTATCTACATTCCACAGTTATTATATAACATTCTAATATCGTGGAATTTAAAACGAATTAAAATTCAGATATTGCATTTCCTAAAACTCTAAATTCATAATAATAGACGATAGACCCCTCATAGGAGTGCCCATCTCCGGTTTCATTTCTCTTTGTCGTCTTTTACGACACCCATGGGACGATATGAGCTTATTATATAACATTCTAATATCGTGGAATTCAAAACGAATTAAAATTCAGATATTGCATTTCCTAAAACTCTAAATTCATAATAATAGACGATAGACCCCTCATAGGAGTGCCCATCTCCGGTTTCATTTTTCTTTGTATCTTTTACGACACCCATGGGACGATATGAGCTTATTATATAACATTCTAATATCGTGGAATTCAAAACGAATTAAAATTCAGATATTGCATTTCCTAAAACTCTAAATTCATAATAATAGACGATAGACCCCTCATAGGAGTGCCCATCTCCGGTTTCATTTTTCTTTGTCGTCTTTTACGACACCCATGGGACGATATGAGCTTATTATATAACATTCTAATATCGTGGAATTCAAAACAAATTAAAATTCAGATATTGCATTTCCTAAAACTCTAAATTCATAATAATAGACGATAGACCCCTCATAGGAGTGCTCATCTCCGGTTTCATTTTTCTCTGTCGTCTTTTACGACACCCATGGGACGATATGAGCTCGTTAACATTCCTACACTGGCACTACAGGCTGTACACGGTTATTGAAATACGGAGAGAAAGTTTGCCACAACTCTTCACTATTATACAGGCTGTCCTAAAATGCGATAAAATGATTGATGAAATGGCATACACTAAATTTAGCAAGTGAAAAACTGTAACAAGATAGCAATAGCCGATATGAGTACTTTTTCCGTGCAATACCATCCATTCCATGTAACAACTCTTTCCAGTGTAGCAGTGTGTAGTTGTGAACCCACGCGGCAAGATTACACGCTTCTCCTGTCATGCGTGTTTTTGATGTGTTCCATCCATAAAAGTCAAAATTGCAGAAAAATACAAATTTGAATTATATAACTTCCTTTGGTCGTGTTATTTTAAAAATTATAGAACTTGCTGTATTGAAGCAGCGTAAGAGACCACTTACCATCCCGTGGGCACCGTAGGAGACCGCATATAAATATATCGCCATATACCCCGTGGGTGGTATGAGGCGACAGAAGGAAACTTAAACATGGGGTGGGCAGCAACATTGTTCCGATATAACTCGAAGTAATAAAACGTACCAAATGTTATAACAGGGCTAATATCATCTCTTTGAGACTATTTATTTCATTTTCTTATCTACAACGGCTTTCTATAGTTCAAGTATAAGGCCGTTTTTAATAATTTAAAACGGAAACGTTTATTCTTTTACTAGCTTTTTAAAACTAAAATAGTTATAAACGGATTTTTCAAACGTTATTAAAAAATTATCACATATTAATTTGAACTGAAGATTGGAAAAAATATAACGTTAGCTTTAATAAGATATTTATTGATTATTTAAACGGAGTTGGCCTGCGTTTTCCTACGCACAAGTGCCCGCTGTCTACGCCGCACTTCGTCCTAAGCGCCACTCTACTCGAAACTTACTGTCTACGCTGCTCGCCTTGCTACGTGCACTAGGTCGCCTATCTACGGTAGATGTTTGCTACGCACACAGGACCGATCCTCTACGATGCACTGCTTACTATAACCTCGTAAGGTCCAAGTGATTTTAGACAAGGAGAAGACAAACGCCCAATGTGCAATAAAATGTACACTATCTAGTCTCATAGTTCCGGCCCACGCACGTTTGGCGATTTTTCTATGTGTTAGGGTCAACCAGGCATTTTTTTATTTTTTTTGGGTACTGAAGGGTAGGAAGAAATACAATGTGACTATTTTCACCCTTCTAGCTTTGGTTCATTTAAATGTACACTGGGCGTTAAATTGTTCTTAAATTAAAAATGAAATATAAATTATAAAGATAATTTTTATTACTAAAAAGCCCAACTGGATGAGATAAAACTATTATCAAATTGTTTACTTATGATCTAGTTATTAAAAATTAAACGTTAAATGAGATCAATCATCAGGTGCCGTAAACATCAGGCACCTTTTCACATAAAAATCTAAGGAAAATAACAGTATTCTGAGTAATGTTTAGTTTTGGACCTAAAATAATCTTCACAATATAGTATGAATTTGCACAAATTACGCAAGATCCAACGCTTAATTTTAGTTGTGAAAGTCCCTTGTAACAGTTTCTGACTTTCGTTAGGCATAGGTGAATTTTGCAGGCCTCGCATTTGAACAACGTTCTGTTATAATGACAATGTCGACATCTACCCACCTTTTCCGCCATATAGGGTAAACGTTTAGCTCCAGTTGTTCGAAACTTATCATTGGGTACAGGAAGTGATTTGCTTCCTGTACGTCTTACTAGAGGTCGGTTATCCTCTTCTGAGTCAGTAGCTTCTGTGTTAGTATCACAGTAGGCCTCAATGAAATATTCGCCCAGCTCCATTTTGAAAGCTCGTAGTTGCTGAATTTTTTTTTTAAAGGAACCAAAGCTTTCAATTGATCTTTTTTGTACTGTATCCAGGTGTTGCTTATAGCTAAATCAACCATTGAGGCGAAAAAACGTTGTGTCCATTTTCGGATCCTATAGCGATAGGGAGATACAGCGAAAAGACGGTCGGCAAGATCGACTCCTCCCATTTTCTGGTTGTATTGTCTCACTACCCTGGGGCGTGGTACGGTCACATAAACTTTAGTTTTCTTGCACCAGACACTCGTCAGATTCGATGTTCGCTTCAACAGATGATAAAAACAAAACAGGTTTATTATCGTACCATTTCGTAAAAGCTATATTGTCATCATTTCGGACAATCACTTGGCTGCTTCCTCGCCCTTGTTTCTTAAGTTCTGTGTCATTTATCAGTAAATGGCGCACATCAGCAGGAATCCGATTTTTCATAACAGTTCCAGTCCCACGAATTCCGTTCTTTTCAAGCTCGTCCAACAATTTCTCCGACGTAAAATACCTGTCAAAGTATATCACCGCTAACCGCCTTTTCTCCTAAACCAAACGTGGTATTCCCATACCCAGGATAGGTGGTTGGGCCTTGATATAAGTGAAAGTCACAAACAGTGCCATCCGGGTTTGCTAAAACAAAATCCTTTAAGCCGACTGGATTAGGCTTACCCGGACAGTACTACTTAATTGCACAGGACCCAGTAAATGGAATGATCATTTCGTCTAAAGACAGACATTGGTCTTTCTCTTGTTTGTGGCATCCAGCTCGTATGCTTTCGATTAGAGGGCGCATCTTCCACAATTTATCTCCAGCTCTCATCGCTGGCGTAATATCATGGTCAAAAACCAACTTCAAGGAGTTTCTCAGTAAGACAAATCGGTCCTGGACATGTTATCGGCTATAATTGTCACCCTCCATTTTTTTCCCAACACCAGTTTTGGATAATTGACTGCCGCCATAATTAACACTTTCGTTCTAACAACGTCACAGAACGTCCAATTTGATGTCTTCGCGATGACGCACATAGTCTAATCACGTCCTAAGAAAATTTTAATTTTCAAGCACAACGGCTAGTAACGTCAAATCTCTGTATAATCTTTAGGTAGCTACGTCATTGCGCCGCATCGTGTGAAATTTTCAAAGTTCTAGCGCTACAATACATTAGTTTTTTTCTTACTTGAACATAAGTCACACACACATTGATAGGTACCTACACACACATGAACAACGTCGACAAACGTCGTTTTTGGTTAGAGTCGCCATACTGCCAGTCTGCTTGCGCGCTGGTACAGTGACCCACGTTTTACGCTACAAAACCCTCGCAGGCCGTGCATTTGAGAAAGTAATCGTAAGTTATTTTTTCGTTTTCTATAGTTTTGTAGGATATGGTGATAGTTGTTATGAGTACATTATAGTATATATGCTGCAATTTTTGAATTTTATAGATGGGAAATAGAAAAAGAGGCCAGAAGAAGCCATCTAAGAAAAAAAGTAATTGAAGTAGGTTGCAAAGAAAAATGTAAAGCTGGACCAAGTGGGATATCAAGGAAAACTCATTCCGTAAGTTATATTTTTTAGTTTTTTTCTGAAAAAAATCTCAAATGTACACATATGTTCTAATTTTGTGTCCTGAATAAGATGATAGCTATGTTTTTTGTTGTAGGTGGAAAAATCACGCCAAATTAGTAATAATGCTTCCATGAAGTTGTTTCAATATGATTCTTCATCAAGGCCATCTACACCAGACCCATTTAGTGATGATGAAGAGTATGGTTCCGATAACGACTATGATCCGGGATATGATGATAATACAGACAGCACTAGCACTGTTAGTGATCACACAAAGCAACGTGAAAAGAAACAACTAAAGAAACGTTCCAAGGACAACGCAACGAGGTCACATGGTAAACGCAACTCTGAAAGCAGTGTAAGTAGCAGCTCTGATTCTGACGATCGAACCGAAGGCTTTAGCGAGTGCACGGATGTATGTGATAGCGATGACAACGAGGATGATACAAATTCGATATCGGCAGAATCTAGTGATGAGAGTATTTTTGACAGTAGAAAGAGAAAAAAGAAGGGGCAGAGTTCCTCTTTAGGATCAAGATACAAAAAACCTAAGATCGCCAGTGCAGATCAGAGTACCGACACTATGTCGTTAGATTCTGAGGCATTGCTAAATAATATAGAAAATCTTGAAAGCTCTTCAGTGCAACTCGATCCTGCAGTATTAGAAAATATCTCAATTTATTCACATATCGAAGGAAGTCACTCCCATACTAATCCACAAATTCAAGGTGCTGAAGACGACCATGCTGCTGCAGCTGCTGAGGTTAATCCCGCGCCTGCCAACCTACGTGCACTGGAACTAGACGCAGCTGCGCAGCGCCACTCTCCTGGTTCTCCTGCACCGGATCCAGCAGCTGCTGAGGGAAATCCCGCGCATGACAACCTACCTGCCTTGGACCTGGATGTAGCTGCGCAGCACCGCTCTCCTAGCTCTCCTGCACTGGATCGGGAGGCTGTTGAGGGAAATCCCGCGCCTGTCAACGTATCTGCCCTGTACCTGGATGCAGCCGCACAGCGCCGCTATCCTGGCTCTCCTGCACCGGATTCAGCAGCTGCTGAGAGAAATCCCGCGCCTGACAACCTACCTGCGCTGTACCTAGACGCAGCTGCGCAGCGCCACTCTCCTGGTTCTCCTGCACCGGATCCAGCAGCTGCTGAGGGAAATCCCGCGCCTGCCACCCTACCTGCATTGGACCTAGATGCAGCTGCAGCAGCGCTCTCCTAGCTCTCCTGCACTGAATCGGGAGGCTGTTGAGGGAAATCCCGCGCCTGTCAAATTATCTGCCCTGTACCTGGACGCAACTGCGCAGCGCTGCTCTCCTAGCTCTCCTGCACCGGATCCAGCAGCTGCTGAAAGAAATCCCGCGCCTGCCAACTTATCGGCCCTGGATCTGGACGCAGGTGAGCAGCGCCGCACTCCTGGCTCTCCTTTATCGGATCCAACGGCTGCTGAGGAAAATCCCACGCTTTCCAACCTACCTGCTCTGGACCTGGACGCAGTTACGCAGTGCCGCTCTCCTAGCTCGTTTGCATCAGATCGGGAGGCTGCTGAGGAAAATCCCGCGCCAGCCAACCTTCCTGCCCTGGACTGGGACGCAACTACGCAGTGCCGCTCACCTAGCTCTTCTGCACCACCAGAACTAAACGCTACTGTAAGATATGCAACTCCGGCCAGCACACTTGCACTGGAGGTAGTTGCAGAGCGTGGCTTGTCCGGCTCTCCTGTGCCGGAACGAGATGCTGCCGAAACGAATTCTGCGCCTACCAGTCCATCTGCTTTGGATCGGAAAGCATTTGTACAACGCAACCCTTCTATCTGTCATGTGCTGGACCCAGAGGCCGCCGAAAGAAACTCCGTGCCTGACACACTCCCCGAGATAAGTCCAGCGACCAATTGCAGACCAAGCACTCCTCCACTGATAAATTATGATTGGGAACACACGAACACACACATACCTTCGTTCGAGTTTGATGAAAGTTCAGCAGGTGTCCAGTTTGAAGTCAACCCAGCTATGACAGTTATGGAAATATTTGATAAAATTCTTAATCCTAAGATTGTAGACTATATTGTAACATGTACTAATACGTACGGGCGAGCACTATGCGAGAAAACAAGACCTACTACTCGAAACTCACGTAGCTATAACTTTAGGGACACAAACCGGGAAGAAATCTTGAAATTTTTTGGATTATGTTTGCTTATGGGTCAAATCAAAATTCCTCAAAAACGCAAAAATTTTACGTATTCCGACCCACTGTATTATCACCCAATTTTTCACTATGTGATGTCCGCTCGAAGATTTGAGCAAATCTTGAGATGTATTTATGTATCAGATTTAGATTCAAAAGGAAAAGATAAAATTGAAAAATTTATTAATGCTATTACCAAGAGCTTCATGGAGTGCTATAAGCCATACAAACAGTTAAGTTTGGATGAATCTTTGCTTTTATTTAGAGGCCGCCTTGCCTTCAGACAATATATAAAGAGCAAAAAAAGTACGTTACGGAATCAAATTATTCGAGTTGACAACTTCTGATGGCTATGTTTTAAATATAATGATGTACTCCGGAAAAGACACAACTGCTCGAACTGGCAAAAAATCTGAAAAGATCGTCCTTCGTCTCATGAGGCCATATTTGCTGAAGGGACATCAATTATACATGGATAATTATTACAATTCCGTAACACTTTCGCAAAAGCTAGTTGACTTAAAAACTCACACCACAGGTACCTTACGTTCAAACAGAAAAGATAATCCCAAAGACATCATTAAGAAAAAACTCAAGAAGAATCAACATGTGTGGGTACGAAAAAATAAGGTCTATGTTTCAAAATGGGTTGACAAGCGACCAGTTCTTATGGTAACAACTTCAGTTCATCCTCGGCTTATAGAAATACAAAACAGATTTCAACAAAGAAAAATTAAACCCGCAGAAGTGGCAGAATACAGTCAACACATGTCCGGAGTTGATAGAGCAGATCAAATGATCTCATATTACTCCTCACCAAGGAAATCAATCCGGTGGTATAAAAAAGTGATGTTCCACTTGTTGGATGTCGCAGTATGGAACTCATTTTTTATTTCCAAAAAATACTGCTAAGCCAATTGTGATTTCTTGCTTTTCCGAGAGGAATTGATTCGAAGACTGTTGGACTTTGGACCAGCAGATTTAACAGCAGAGCAAGTAATTTTAGCTCGCAGCAAATATGACAACAGAATAAGAGCTAATTTATTGCCACTTCCAGTCAGTACCATTGACGACGACGTCGGAAGCTCAAGAGTCCATGGTCACTGGCCTGAGAAAATACCCGTGCAAGACGGTTCAAACAAAACATCAAAGTACTTGAAATGCAAGATGTGCACGAAAAAAAAGGTGAGAAGGGAGACTTGCCTGAGATGTAAAGGTTGCCCTGAAAAGCCAGCACTGTGTGCTCTTTGCTTCGAAGAGTGGCACAAAGAAGTATAATGCTTTTTTACCTATTTTGTTCCTTTTTATGAGAGTGATATCAAATAAGTATAACTGTATCATGCATATGAGTATTTAGAAGTTTTATAATTTATTGCTACGATTGTTATACTAAATCTGCTAAACTGTGTAAGACTGAATATTATTGTGCTATACTGGTAATCTATTGATAAGATAGAAGCAGGCAACTGTTAATTTTGTGAAATAATTTGTTACTTTTATAGAAAATACCTAACTTACCAGAGTATTATTTGATTTTGTGATAGTAGCGTAAAATGTTAAAAAGTTACTCATTCATATGATAGGTAGGTAAAAGTAAGTGAGTATTTATAATTTTTATAATTTTTTGCTACCAATGTTATACCAAAACTGTGTAAGACTGATGGTTATTGTGCTATAGTGGTAATTTATTGATAAGATAGTAGTGAGAAACTGTTTATTTTGAGAAATAATTCGTTACTTCTATGGGATAAACTAAACTTACCATAGTATTATTTGATCGATATGTGATAATAGCGTAAAATTTGAAAAAGTTACTCACACATAGGATAGGAAGTAAAAGTAAATTTTATTAAACTAAAACTTGGAAGAAATTTATGGACAATTGCTCCTAAATTATTTTCAATTAAGTCGAGAAGAGGGTAGATATTGACACAAAATGTGATATGTAGGTAATTTTTGAAAAATAGTTGATTTTCTAAAAATATATAACAAAAAACTGATGATTATTGAGTATTATTCCATATCAAATCCTGTTTATTATTTTATTTTTATAAATCAAAGTCAACGTCAGGAAACGATGAGCGACAGATAATTTGCTCGTATAGTCGATTTATGATCAGACCGTCAAGTAACGTTGGAGTAATTAAACGTTGTTTCCCAAAACTTTAAGTTCTACTAGATATTTGTGGAACAACAGTTATGAACGTCAACGTGCATTGACGCTGCTTTCTTATCATGGTATCAATATTTGGCAACTAGTAACAGAACGTTGACGTTGTTTAACGTTGTTCAATATAGTGTAGATATCTTGTCTAGAGATTAAAGCAGAACGTGTCCCAACGTTGACGTTGTTAAACGTTGTTCAATATAGTGTAGAAATCTTGTCTAGAGATTATAGCAGAACGTGTCCCAACGTTAACGTTGTTAAACGTTGTTCAATATAGTGTAGAAATCTTGACTAGAGATTAAAGCAGAACGTGTCCCAACGTTGACGTTATTAAACGTTGTTGAATATAGTGTAGGGATCTTGTCTAGAGATGAAAGCAGAACGTGTACCGACATTGACGTTTAACGACGTTCTTGTAATCTGTAAGGTCTAAAATACCCACAAATCGGAACAGAACGGCTGGTAACGTAGACGTACATAAACGTTGTTGCCCGTTTGGTGGATAATAATTTTAGCAATATACCGGTGCGTCCTTGAACGTCAACGCTTACTGACGTTACCGACAAGTCATATGCAATATTTTGTTTGTGATACGGCGATACGAGTATGGACGTCCTCAAACTTTGTATGGAGTAATCATGCGCCACGGCCTATAAGTTGACTATTATGGTATGCGTGCATGAACGTGTTAATGTTATGCCCAAGTAGATATACAGTTCCTCAGAAGTTAGAAACAAGCTACGTCCTGATTTTTCGATGGCAGTCTGATTAGACTTTCTCTGTATGAGATCAATGAGCTCATCATCTTGTCTTTAACCAGATAAGCAGGCTGAATCATTTGGGGGAAACGAGGGTCCAAACTCTTGCACACTCCATGTTCCGCTATTAGGATAGTCTTCATTAACACCGCATTCTTCACCCTCATTGTCCTGACCTCTTCTTGTTTCAAGTCCGCGACTACGCCTTTTCCCTTTATTTCTTGTACCACGTCCTGTCCCACGTCCTCTTCCGATCCCTGTTCCGCGTCCTCTTCCGACCCCTGTTCTAAGTCCTCTTCCAACTCCTGTTCTGCGTCCCCTTCCTCGCCTGGTTGCATGGCCTCTTCTACGTACTAAACGTTCTTTACTTGAAATATTACTTTCAGCTTCTGAACTACTACTTTCGGTGACATTATTATCACATTCAATCGAACTTGCAGTAGGGAATTGAAACTCTGGGTCACCGACATCTTCGTCCGGCGGTACGAAATCTTCTATTTCAGAGTTATCAAGCAGATCTTCTATTTCTTTATCCTGGAGGAGTACTAAAAACAATTACTTTAATTAATTGACTAACTCAAAACAGTAACACCCAATGTGCAATAAAATGAACACTATTTTACAATTCAAGATAAAAACGAAAATATGTAAGACTGCCTAAAAATACCTACAATTCCTAAAAATATACAAATTTACCCATGTTTTGTCATAATTTCAATATGAGAAATCATAGGATTTTACCAATTAATAAAGATTTAAACTCACCTGGCTATTGAATCCTCGGCATGGTGAAAGAAAATGGCCGATTTTGGCCACTTGACATGTACTGCTGTCAAACGTCAGCTGTCAAAATTTCATCCACACTAGTTGACCAACGACAATATTCAAACGAGTTTGACTTTAGCGCGACAATTTAAAAGTATAACCATGAATATTTTAGTGTACATCGCATTGTACAGTGGGCCTTTCTGAGAAAATTTTAATTTATATTCGGGGCCGGAATGTAAATAGTGTAAATGTACAACGTAATGTGCATTGGGCCTTACGAGGATAATTATAAAAATATATATATATATATATATATATATATATATATATATATATATATATATATATATATATATTATACGTACATATACGTTCCTACTACATCGCCCAAAAATCCTATTTTTATCTTTGTTGGCACCAAAATTATGCTCACTGTAGTACATTACGTGTGTTTATGAGCTGTGGTTGCTCTATAAAAAAGATATATTTTTCTTTTTATAGAAGTAGTGACAAACGAGTTCGCAGTTGACTTGATGGTAAGTAGAGAAATGACTCATAAACATTTACATCTGTCATTGTTTAAGATAAAAAGTAATGTGTATTTGCCATTAAGGACTAATATAGAATATATAAAGACTAATATCTCGTTAACTGTAATGATTAAAATTTTAATAACAAGTTCGACCAACTACACGAACCAAAAAATACACCTTATAGCTTCACTTACATCAAAATCTTCCTTTCCTATGTCAATACCTTTAAGTATAGAATTTTTCACTGAAGAATAATAAATAATTTCAAAATAATACTAATTTCAAAATTAATAAATTAATAATCGGTTAAGCCGTTTCTGGGAAATCGGTAAACATAGATAAAACAAATTTAGACCATCTCAATTTTTTGAACTTCTATTCTGATATTCCGTGAGAAAGTGGCCTTAAACTACTCGTAGTTTAAGGCCACTTTGCGTGATTCTACCACGTCTCGAAATATACCGTTTACATCTCATACTTTCTTTCCATCTGCCGGCTGTACTTCAGTCTATTTATGGAATCATTAACATTACAATGATCCTCTAATTTATTTTTAAACCCTGTCAAAAAGTCTCGTGTTCCAGAAATAGTTACCATCTTAAAGGCTTGTATTCATTCACATTGTTAATGACCTCACACTCACGCCTCGATTAGTCCGAATTTTGATGTATGCAGTCAAATTTAATTTATAAACAATAAGTTTTTATATATAATATTAGTGACAAACGAACACAAAGACCATCTGATGGTAAGTGGATGCTGTGGCCCTTGGATATCTACGTCTATCATTAATTAAGAAACCAAATGCAGATGACAAACCTGAGTATTAAGATGGAATGCCTCGTTTTCACACAACATTATTCATTGCAAAACACTGCAACATTATTCATAATATAGCTGCAGCGTGGCTCTACCACATGTTTAGCTATTTAGACAGTATAGTAGCTAATTTTTAAAAAGAAAAGACGCAAAGTCAACGAACTCTCTTCAACTAAAATAGCATTCATTGAATCTATTTAAGACTCGAAACTTAATACTAAAATGCTTAGAATTTGATTGATGAAGTAAATACAAGATTAACTGACCAAGCGTAGTACTCGGTATTAAGACAGGATTAAGACGTTGAGGCGATTACATCAGCAACGCTTAAGTTACTAATCAAACCATGATCATATGTGTAGTTTTTCCATTTGTATGAATTCTTCATTCGAGAAACGTTTCGTTCTCCATAGCGAACCATTTTATTGCATACGAAGTGCACGTGAAAAACATTTTATATTACAAACTATTTATTCAGCAACTTAGAATGACTTAACATGAAAAAAAATTTAAACGGTTCATTAATAATTGAACTGATATTTAGTTTTTGAAAAGGGGTTTTCACGCCCTTCATTTACTGCAATACGGCTCGTAAGAAAAATCGAAATGTTACTATATATTCATACACAGCCCATTTTTACGTATACTGTTTAACGTAAATATGATTAAACATGTATGAACATACCTAATAAATAATCGTTTATACCCATCACGATGAATCCATTCATAGAGTATAATGTAGTCAAATTATTTTATCGCAAATGACGGGGATTGATATAACTAAATACTAACTTTACTAATGATTGTCCTCGTTGGTCTAGTAGTTGCAAACGCGACTGCTGATCATGAGGTTCCGCGTTCGAATCCCGGTTCGGGCCAAAAAATATCAGTTATTGTGTTTTTCCGTCAAGAACTTCTCATTAGCTGCCCGGAGTCACGAAATTGGCGGTATGTCCTGCGCCTGATCTCTCTCCGGTTGTGTCGGATCGGACTATTACAGTGAGGGAATAGAGAGTGCACGTGTGCTTGCGCATACACTTGGGCACTATAATCCTGTCCTGCGCCGATGGCTAATTTCCGTTGATATTAGTATTATTATTATATTATTATAATGATTGGTCATTGTGAGAGAACGTAACCTGTACTAAGATACCCTACGTTACAGTTTTCCGACCCACACACACACACACACACACACACGCGCATGCACACGCGCACGCACGCACGCACGCACGCACGCACGCACGCACGCACGCACGCACGCACGCACGCACGCTCGCACGCACGCACGCACGCACGCACGCACGCACGCACGCACGCACGCACGCACGCACGCACGCACTCACGCACGCACGCACGCACGCACGCACGCACGCACGCACGCACGCACGCACGCACGCACGCACACACACACACACACACACACACGTTTATTATGTAACATACATACACTGTGTATGTATGTACGTAAGTAATGAAATTATTAATTCATTTTAACTCACGTCGGACGTCTGAAAAATCTTGAGATTCTAATAGTATTCTCATCAGGATCATCACAACTTATAATCATAACCAATTGAGTATTGATTAAGTTTTTTTCTCTTTATCAACTCTTAGAAATCGTTGTGGAGAAGATTTGACAACGTTTCACGCCTTTTTAGTATGGACAACTAATTAATTTTATCTGAAATTGTAAGTTTTTAATAGCAAAATAGAATTATTTTCTTCTAAAAATCTCGTTATGCCTCTAGATATAGAAATTTATGGCAATACATACGGTATGTTGTTCAAAATGTTGTTGTACCAGTTTATAGGGACTATTATTATGATTTCTCAGGATTTTAAAGCACTTATACACACAATGTTGTTCCGCGTCGCATATTCGCCGCAATGCGAATGAATAATGATCGCGTTGCCCGAGACGTCGTCGGTGTAATAGGCTGCCGCTTTGCTGAAAAATGATCGAATAACTCTTTAGAACCGCAATTCCTTACCACATCAACGAGAAATGTTATTTAAGTGGTTTCATTCTTACTAGAACAACTTGTATATATATATATATATATATATATATATATATATATATATATATATATTATATATACTTTTGTGAAATAAACTGTGTATGCTATTGCGCCTGCTGAGTGTTGGGGGAGGCCTGTATTCAGCATTGGAGCGCTGTAACGATATTGATGAAGAAATTCACCCTTCGTTCTCTGTCTTCACATCATATCTAACATTCCCGCTAAACACACAAAATAAAACAAATTTGTAGTTAAACATTCAACAAAATTCGAAAACGAATGCGATACAGAATCATTCATCTCATTCTAATAAAGTAATCCCTCGTCTGTTTCGGAGCTTTGCTGTTTGGTCAATTTATCTTTTATTTATTTCGTCTGTCAAATTTTGCTCATGTAAGGTCTTATTTGTAAGCTCCAATTTAGTTGAACGTAAATTGAAAACTGTTATATATAAGTCTGTATACATTTTTTTCTTTTTTTTTTCATTATTGTGCGCGCTTACATTGGCTACAAAGCGTTTAGCATATGACAATACTTCGAATGTCAGTATCACATTTAAAAAAATTATATTGGTATATAATAATAAGATTGTTAATCTTCACATATGTTGATGCGTAACATTGTTTTGAGGGTATTTTGACGGCAATTTAAACAGGCAGACAAGAGTCAATGACGATAGTATCTCAACACGCCTAAAAAACTTGACGTTTAAATCACTATCAATGTACTTTTTTAATAAGTACGAGACATAAAATTATTTTTTTATAATACCGTAAAGTAATATTAATTAATAAAACTTAGCACATTAATTTAGATAACAATTCAATCTACATAAAAGAAACAACATTCTAAATTCTAATTCCAATACTAAAAACCTTAAAAAAAATAATATATATATATTATAATTACTATAATCAACCAAATCTAAGAAATACATTTTGACAGCTGTCAGACTTATTGCACCAAGCATGCCAGCCAAAACATGGGAACGTACAATATTTGATTCTTTAAAAAATCGATATCGATTATTTAGAGTTGGTAACCATTTACAGTTTGGGCAGCCCACTATCACTCTTGCTACCTACGTGAAATAATTACCTAAAATCGCGACGTGCCCGGGCGAAATAACGCGGTCAGGGCTAGCGCGTTGGTGGCGATTGAATGTTAAAGTTTTTTAACACTGTTTACGTATAT